TTCTGTTATTGGCCTCTTTGCTGGTTTTTGGTGTTATGTCTGTTGGTATGTTTTTATTGAAGTACTGCGTGTGCGTGTGTGTCTACACACCCACTTTATTTTAGGGTTGCCAGCTCCAGCCTGGGAAATCCTAGAGATAAGGTTGCCAACTCTGGGTTGGGAAATTCCTGGAGATCTGGGGGTGGAGCCTGGGGAGGGCAGAGTTTAAGGAGGGGAGGGGCTACTTCAACAATTGCTAAGGGCTTGAATAGTTTACAATAACATAGCAACATATGCCTTACATTGCATCGCTCTGTTGGATTTTGTTTGCAAAGCAGCTTGCACCTCTCTGGGCACTAAAGAGCTATGTTGATTCAACCAGATTCTCTTTTGGTCAAGTCTGCCTTTATTGACACCCGGCGTTTCAGACAACAAGACTCTGAAGATTCACCATTACAGAGCACTTGCCAAGTACACTACTAGAGCAGAGATGGTATGACCACCAGCAGTGTTCCCTCTAAGCTGAGTTAGTGTGAGCTAGCTCACAGTTTTTTTAGCCTCCGGCTCACACATTTTTGTCTTAGCTCAGGAAGGACGGCTCCAGAGCAAACTAATTTATGCAGTAGCCAAATTGCTCGCTCACAACTAACAAAGCCAGTAGCTCACAAAGTAGAATTTTTGCTCACAAGACTCCACAGCTTAGAGGGAACATTGATCACCAGTAGGTTTCCCCAGCAGTGGGGATAATAGACAAGAATGCACCGGGAGCTGTCGTTATCTCCACCTTAAGGGGGATTGTGGTTTACTTATTTATTTGTTTGTTTGTTTGAGATTTATATCCCGCCCTTCCAAGTGGCTCAAGGCGGCTAACAAGCGGCTAATGCTGGGTTAAATAAAATACAATAAAACAATATTATACATCCACAATAAAATTCATAACAATATTTAAGGTGCTCTATTACGCTGAGTGCTACAGTAACAGCTTTGCATGAGCAAAGTACCTAGACACATCCAGGAGAAGTGCTGAGAAAGATGCCTTTCTGCTTGAGACCCTGGAGACATTGATTTTCTGAGCAGTCAATACTGATGCTGGCAGTCCAATAGTCAGTATAAGGCAGCTTGAGGCAAGCCATGATGACTGTGCAATAAACTGAATCTGAAAACAGGCACTAAGGATGTTAAAACCCCTCAAGACACAGATGGCCAGTCCCATATAGGTGCATAGTTTGTACGGCACATCTGTGGGTTTGTGCCAAGGTTGGAACCTTGCCAGCTGGATCACACATGCACAAATTTTGTTTGCTGGAGCTCAGGCACATGTGAAGCACATGAACGGGGCCCGTAAGCTAGCTCTACTCTCTTTGTGCCACCTATACCCCCTCTCCAGTGTCCTCCGGCATGCATACAGGGAGTTGGCACGGGGCGAGGAAGAAACAGGAAGCTCAGCTCACCCATTTCTCTTTCAAATTGTCTTTACTTTTTATCACTCATGCTTAGGGTTGGACTCTATGGCATTACACCATGCTGAGGCCCCTCCCGTCCCCAAACCCCGCCCTCTCCTGGGTCCACCCCCAAAGTCTCCAGGTATTTTCCAACCCAGACCTGGCAACCCTACCCATGCTCCAAATTCTAAGAAAGTAAACTGGAACGGAATAGGGGACTACTACATCTAAGATCCAGGAGCCAGCATTTCACATAGCCACCACCAATAAGCTCCCCCCCCCCCCCACATCTACCTGGAAATTAGAACCCATATTGTAATTAGCATTAATTTTCATTTTATCTAACATCTTATGCGGAGGGAGTCGATCAACTCTTCTGGAATCTGTTGCAAGGTTTTCCATAGCCTCTTGTTAGGCAGGCTGTAGGAGCGACTGACCCAAAGTCCCTCAGCAAGCTTCTGAGGCAGAGTGGAGAGTTAAAATTATCTCCTGTCCACCTTTCATCATAATTATGTTAAGGGGGGGGGGGAGAAACAGATGGTGGGGAGACGTTGCTGGGTAAGATAGAAAAGCCTCGATCTGTGGTTGGCCACAGCCTTCTGACAGAGCACAGGAAGTGGTATGCAAACTTAAATTAAGCGATGGTAGTTGCAAAAAAAAAAGGGCCCAGGCTAGCCCGATCTTGTCAGATGGCGCTTTGCACCACCACTTGCAACAAAAGTTCTTGGGTTGCACCAAACTCTTCTGGGACAAAGAGGCAACAGCTACCCTCCCTTTGAATATGGAAGAGCCATGTATAATGCACATCTGTCTTCAGGGTTCACGGAAACACACAGGCCACCTGTAAAGCAGAGAACCAAGCAGGAAAAAGGTATACTGACCTTTAATTAGGTAAGCTGGAGATTGAATTTATATAGCATAAGTGGGGAACTCACAAGGACTTGCAGGGGGCATCTCATTTTCCTCTCCTCCACTATTTCCTATCCCCTCCCTGAAAGCCCCTAGTGTCCCCTTTTCCTGCTTCTTTCTCACTTTCCCACCCACCACCCAACTTACCTTTATCTGCCTGTGTTCAGCTTCCCTTCCTCCCCCCCCCGGAAAATGTGCCCAGTTCCAGCATGGCCTGTAGCTACAGTGGGGCTACTGGGGGTGGCGCACGCCCCTCTTCCTCCCCTCCTGCAAGATTTAAATGGTCCTTCAGCTGATCAGTAGGGAGAATCCAGTCAGCTGAAGGGCCCTTTAAATCTTGCAGGAGGGGAGGGAGAGGAGCACATGCCACACATACACCCTTCATTACAGCAAATAATGGCAGCCCCACCAGAAAACAATTTGCCCCACAAGCCACAAAATCCTGGCTACGGGCCTTGTTCCAACCATTGTGTGGTGCCAGGCACTAGGCACGATTGTACAGCAAGGCACTTTCCAAGGACTTGCGGGGGCTACTTCACTTTCTTCTGTACACCCCCCCACACACACACTATTTCCTCTTTTCTTCCTCCTGGCAACCCCCACGCTTGCTTTTCCCAAAGCAAGGCCTCTTATAACAGGGGTGGAATTCATGGCAGGGCCTCCGAATTATAACTGGCAGACACAAAAGGTTGGGCTTTTACAGCTGTTATGCCTTATAGCTGGCACTTTTTACCTTGAGAAACTCCAAGTTAATATCACACAGGTTAATCATGCCTTTGGCTTGGGTGGCAATCTGGAAGCAGTGAATTGTTTGGGGAGGTTGAGTCTGCTTTTTGAGTGTTGCTGGTTAGCTTCTCTCTGATATTCTTTATGATGCTTTTCCATGGTTGGTCATTGATTAATAATACATTACACTTTTTATTCTGTTGGGTTTACTGCTTTGAATAACTTGTTGTAACCCTTGAGGCTCCTATATGGAAGGAAGAGGCAAGGCAGAAGTACTTTAAGTACATACACTTCAGGTGTGTGCGGAGAGAATCGGGCTCTTCTCCTTCCATAGCTGCAGAAGAACAAACACAGAGGATTACACAAATAAAGCTAGAATTGTGGTGGTTGACAGTCCACCAACTTGTAAGCCTTATGCCCCCACCCCATGCTGCTGTTTCCAGGGCTGTCAAAAGAAAACCTAGCTGAATAATTCAAACTATAAGGAAAGTTTTTAGAAATCATTCCCAAGCACAGGTATATTCTCCCTCCACCCCAGCACTGTAGGAGGAAGTACTTATATATCAGAATTCATCCCATTACTGATTCCCACCATGAAGACCAGGAAAAAAAGGTGAAACTGTGGAATAATTGTATGACGAGGAGCTGCAAGAGAAGACAACAAAGCAAACCATGTACCACGGAGGTTATCTCCAGGTCTATACCACAGAAGGGTGTAACCCTCCTTAAGATGGCCTTACAAGTTACTCAAGGAAAGAAAGTGATGGGAATAGAACCTTGACAAAATCAAAAACAACACCAAGCAGAAAGAATCTGAAGGTTCACTGAACAAGGGGAATTATCTAAATGATGCAATATAAATACTGATCAAATTAAACTATGTCTGCAAAGGACACACACCAAAATCAACAGACTTCAGGGCAAACAGCATTTATTAGTTTTCTGGAAGTCACATGGAAAGATTGCAAAGTATTCAGAAAGTCAAGGTGGTCTCAATGTTTGCTTTTCACCTGTTCATTTTTCATCCAAATGTTATATATTTAAAAACTGTGTTAAAAAAAGAAAACGTAAAGCCTAATCTGCATCAGTTTTTATTCTAGAGAAGGAACCTACAGTTTTTAAAAAATTCTAGAATACAAGAACTTGCAAGACTTAAAACAGGCCCCAATAAGCACAAGCAATGGGGATCTATAATGCATTTACTATTCCAAAATGGACAAATAGATATCACTCTCATAAAAAACCCTTCAAGTGTCTTTCTTCCCTCTCCGATGCTAGAGTTTAGCTTAGATAAACTGCTTGCTTTCCGCATGATTCATAGATGTGCCCTACAATAAACTCTCTGTGTTTATACATACAATATCCACATGCAAAATTCATGTATCAGTAGAGGGTAGCACATATATGTTCCTAGCAACTGCAGTTTTGCATAGCGAAATACCCTAATTCATTCCTGATCACCACTTCCATGTTTTTGCTAATAACAAGTGCAGCAGTCAAAACCGGCACAAGGTGCATGCATTTTATATTCCAGCACCTGTACCCAGATACGAGCAAATCCAGCCAAGAGACTCGTCAAAAGCTGGATTTCCTAGTTGTTTTAAATGGTGAATACATTTCTGTCTTCTGCATTTTTAAAGACTAGGTGGTTCAGAACATCACTAATTTTAAACAGGAGATCTTTTATGAGAAACAGCAGTCTATTGGCTAAACTCAGAAAGCTGTAGCCTAGAGAAACAGGTAGAGGTTCAGTTAGCTTAAGGCCTTTACAGATGACACATCAGTGAAAAAAATTCCAACCCATTTTTCACATGTTTTCAGAGTATATTTCTTTACCCTCCAGTTTCATTCAGAACGGACAGAAACCTGGAAAAGGAGGACACTGGCAAAATGAATCAAATATTAGCAAAAGTTGAACTTAATATAGAAAATGCACTAGGCGCGTACTTTGTTGTTCTTTAATTTCTGGAAGGATTGGCAGTCCTCTTTAAACAAAAACAGATTTGCAGGATCTGTTAACACAGTTAACATAGGTAAAGGGTCGTCTTTACATCCCCAACTCGGAAGAAAGGAAAGAGT